ATATACTTACATGTATTTTTAGGCAATAATTAAATAACTGCTTACAATACGAGAAGCCTATAGGATTCATAAAGTTTTTTTTTCCATCCAATATAGAAAGTGTTGCTCATGTTCAAACACAGCCTAGAAACATTATTCTAGAAAGGTAGTGTGACAGAAAAACTTGCATTTGTATAAAATAATTGGGTTCCTATGTTAACAAAGATGATGGTCAGAGCCAATAGAATTCTTATGACCTGCAGCACTGGTTGAATTAAAATTGTTCAGATTTCATCAACAAAAAGTTGATAAAACTTGCCCCTAGTGATGACATTGGCATACTTGGCACCAGAGCTCTGACAATGTCAGGAGGTCACTTTTGTTTTTACAAAAAAATTACATTTTAGATATATCCTTATATGTTGCACACTTTTTGTATGCACTCACTTACACCCAGTTTCTTATACTCTTCAGTTTAACTCTTCAATGAGCACCATGTACTAGAGCATTCACATTTATTCCCATACTCTTCACTTTTTACTTAATCAGCAAGTGCTGATTAATTCAACTCAATTAACGCCATGTCATCAAAGTCTCACTCCTCACTTCACCTTTTCACAATATGACACTAGAGCATTTTTCTTGGCTTGACCCTTAACAACCTGTTCATAGCCTTCTCTTAAAAAAATACTGAATAACTTTTACAATCACTAATTTTCGTGGCTGATCCTGTTTGGCCACAGCTGCCTGATCACTATTTCTATTTTTTGTTGTTTCCAACCTTGATGTGTATTATGTTTGCAAGCACACCACTATCATCTGATAGTGTCATTCATACTGTCATTCATACTAAGATAGCCACAGGACCTCCATTGTTCTCAAAACTCAGACTACCTCTGCCCTGAGAACTTCTGCATTTACTGAAATGAAACATGTCAGATTTCATTTACTCCACACTTTGGAACATATTTGGCTTATTCACTATCATTACTTTCCCCATAACTGTATCTGCACGAAAACACACCTAACACATATTAAGGTAGTATATCAATTTAATCAAATCAAAGTAAGTATTCTGCCCTGATTAAGGCATTTAAAACTCTGAGCTCCCAAATCCTGGAAAAACCTTCAAAGTAGAAGCATGGTAAAAAATGTAAGATTACAGTTGTATGCCGTTTGGGCACCCCTGATCAAATTGCGTGTTTCACACAATCTCAAAGTAAAAAGAAGTTAACACAACCTCTGCAGGATACAAACTTAAGCATGATATATTTCTACACATTTTAATACAAAATTACAATTTATTTGCTGAATTTAACAGATGAAAAAAAATAAAATAGTAAATGTGGCATGTGATCCAGTTGATACTGATATTGGACAGACCAATAAGTTCTGGCAGAGAGACAACGATCTTTATGCTTCTGTACTGGAATTACTTGTCCCAGAAAATCCGTTTAATCAAATTATGTAACAGTGTTGGAGTGTGCAGACCACGTGAAAATTATTTGTTGTCTGTTCATCTGCATTATAAGCAAATACGGAAATATTCAACATTATCAATAGCACCCCAACTAAATAAAGACATTTTTCAGACACACGCATTTAGGAATCTTTGTGTAACTGCACCAAATGTAATGCAATACTGTACATCTGATAGTATAATGAAATAAAATGTATCAATCAATGTTCCAAAACTATATAAAAATAAGAAAAATATTTTACATATGAAACTTATTTCTGATATCTTAAATTAACATAATATATATAAATAACTTATTTTTGTTTATTTTAACTTATTGTTTATTTTAAGAGAGTATTACATAAATAGGTAATTATTTTTAACTTTGTAGAAAGTTGTCTTCAGATTTATTGACTTTTTAAAAAAAGCAGGGCTGGAATGGACCTTTGAGAAATACTAGACAGTAAGTAAAATGCTGCTAATGTGTTATTTTCCATCTGTCTGCTTGTATTTTTTACACTGTGCTTGCTACCACTGCACCAGAAACTGAAGAGGTCAAATGATTAATGCCCCGTTGCAGACAATGCAGTGACTGGAAAAGAAGGAATAGAAGAATCATCTAAAAAACAATAACATACTTAACAAAACTAAGCTCTCATTTTCAGCCGCAGTCTCACAAATCTCAGGTACAGGCACACTCATTCAGCTCTGTTTTATGAGCATGTCAATGAATAAGTCATTAAAAGCCCTACTATATATCTCTCTAAACCTTTCAACTGTTCTAAATACAACAGACAGCAGTGTACTGCTACATGTGATACTAGATAGTTACAATGCCACCCACTAACTATATCTCATTTAAATTAAAACTACTGAATGTTACTAATGAGAGTAAGTAAACTGTGACTAAAGAGTGGCCAAAATACCTATTGTGTAGTACCCGGCCCTTGTGTATACACAACCTTGGCTTCCAAATGTATTTATCTGCTTCACTTTTGATCATTCTTTGTTAGTCGCTTTGAGCTGCCATGAAGCCGTACTACAGTAAAATGTGATAGAACAGATTACGCGGTTTCAGTTTACTCAAGATTGGCCATTTTGTGACTTATACTGTGTATACTGTCCTTTTTTGAACATTCTTCACTTTGCAGAAGCCCTCAGGGTCTTCCAGTCTGAACAATTTTCTCTTGTGAATTTGCCTTCAGTTAGAAATACAAATTTTCTACCGAACCAAGTTCAAGTGATAGGTGCACATGGAAGGAGTATAATAATAATAATAGTATAATGCTGTTAAAAACATTAGGAAACCTCTTCAACCATTGCGGTAACTAATTCAGAAAGTAAATCTTCTTTCCATTTAACAATTGGGTTTTACACTTGTGTACTTCAAAATAGTGTTGTGCTGGTTTGGCTTTTTAACATTCTGTTTTTTGATGTATTCGCTAACTCAGTCCTTTAACTTCATTACTTGTGCCAAATATATTCATGGTTTCTCGACCAATGTCCAAAAAAATATTTAGTCCATATTATATGCCAAAAAAACGATGGCCATCTTCCATAGGTCATCCTCAGATGCCTATTACACAAATACAATTTAATTTCTTTTAGCATAAATAATGGAAAATAGCTGAATATGAACAAAGGTTATGCAGCTGTTTAGTATATTACTGCATATTTAATTATTATTTTTATGAGCAAGAAAAAAATTGTGAGGAAGAAAACACAAATGTATCAGTATCTGAATCCTAAAACCCAGTGCAATAGTACATTGATATTTGAAGGTATCTGTTGAAGAGATGTATTTCAGAGTAAGGTTTCACAATAAATGAACTTTACATTTAAGCGGATGCCTAATGCCCCAAAGCTCCTTAAGAGTTCATTGTACTTAAATCTCCCCTAATCCTCCTTTTTGGAGCTTCTTTACGTTAACTGAATCAGTATGAGCCGGAACATGAAGAGAAAAGGTAGAGATTACTACAGCTTTAAAAGCCCATATTGAATAGAAATACAAAAAATATTGTGAAATTCTTAAATACAAAAAGTGGAAGCTAAATTATCTACATTTCTAAACTATGTATTTTTTATTTTAAATGTTTTGGAATATACCATATATCTCTGAACACTGATATTTTTAGGCATAAAATAGTAACTCATGGCTGGACGTAAACTTTTATTTTACATGTAATTTTTACATATATCAGTGAACCTTTCAAATCAAATTTAACAGCAGGTGTTTTTGCATTGTTTTTGCATTGTGAATATATTGATAGATGCATCCTATATTTTGAGAACTTCTGCCATATTTGTTCAGCAACCAGCAGTTCTTCCATAACGATACTACGTGAAGTAAATGATCAATCCAAAACATCAACTCATTCATTTTCTGTCAGAATAAAAGCAAATTATGAAAATGTTCTTCTTATCATACATATTACATATAAAGCATGACCTTACTATGCCATTCTATGCCAAGGTACTGGACGGTTTTAAAATACAATTTTCAGGATTTTTAGCACTATCTGTTAACCAGATATTATTGTGTGCATTTCTTTTTTACATAAACACCTCTTTTAAGATACAAAAGGGATTTAGCTGAATACATTGATTCATCTAAGCAAGGAAAGGACATGATGTTTCATGATATTTACATACAGTAATATGAAGCACGTTAAGTACTTTTCAAATTACACAGTACAATCTTCTAATAAAAGAGTAGAATTCAATGTTCAGTTTTGGTATGTTCAAAAGATGAAGAAAATTATAGATTGGAGGAATTTGGTTGAGAAAGCTTCATCAGTTAGATTAACTGACCCATTTTATTTTGATTTGAGGAGAATATAAATAATAAGAATATGACAAGATTCAGAAATTCATACTCTACAAATTTACTGACATAGTCCCAATGACTACTTTAAGATTAGTTTAAATGTAAGGACCTGTAAAATAAGTGTATGTACTTTATTTTGAACCTGTTACAGTGACATAATCCCCCAGTAACTGAGACTACTTTTGCATTTCACTGTTTAGTGAATGGCAGTACTGAATGTGGTTTTATATCCTCAGGTGACTGTGACTACAGCTGGGCAGCTATGCACCCACCACATAAGGCAAAGTGTCTTATGTGTGTGGAATGAACTGGGCAGTCATGTTGTTGAATGTGATTCCCTGGAAAACTAACATGCTCACAATCCAGTGAGTAAGACTTCTATGCTCTTACGGGTTCAACTTGTGCAGTACTGATTTTCAGTGCTGGAAGAATCCATTTTAAAGTATAAAAATCCAAGCTGAAGTTGCAGGAAAAGAAGAAAAAAAAAACAGAAAAAGAAACTATGAACTAAAATGCAGCAGATTAGCTATTCTGTTAATTTTAGACCTTTAGTTCATCTGCTGTTATCTTTAGGTTACTAATTGTCACTATCAGGTGTGGTGAGTGTAAAGGTATATGACAGGAGTATCATAATGGGACCAAAATATGGGTAGTGGACCACCACAAGTCACAGATTGACTTTCTGAACTTCTGCACAGAAAAATCAAATACATATATAAATTAGATCTCTCTTACCTTTAGAGTCTGACCCTCCTAATTTCTTCAGAATGTCATAGCATTCTACCTCTTCTCTCTGTATTTCCACAAAAAAGCGACATTCTGGGTGGATTCCATTGACCTTACAAAAAGTAAACCAGAATAATTTGTCAGTTGCTGGTTGACTGATCAACATCATTATGATTCAAATTTTATTTTTTTTATCAGACATTACATTATAGATGAATGAGACATACAGTAAAACTGAAATGCTGGATTGCAAAACACTTCAGATTTGTATTGGCAAGACATATCTTGCTTTCCTTTCTGACTGATGATAACTATTGAATCAAAATCATGATCTCTTAGTGAGGGACCTACTGCAATGAAGCATTTAATCAATTGTCTTCTCCTTCAAAAGTCCAAGGTTATGCATGCAAAACCTTGTTTCTTTTGGGTAAAAGACAACCACTGAGCCATGAGAGAATAACTTGAAGCATAAGACAGCATGGCTTTTAAGACAAGGGCCTCCTTGTCAGATGTCAGAGAGACTTCAACAACCCTGGCAATGGAGGGTGAAATCCTTATATACTGACGGATGCTGCCATATGTCATAGACATTTGGGAAGCAAAGAAAGGGCAAAGTAAAGCACTGGCAGACAATTACTCAACAGAGACACTGTCAATTTTGCCATGTTATACTCAAGTTGCAGTATGTACTTGTATCATGGACTAACACTTGCCTTGCTCTAGGAGATCACGAAAAACAGTTGCAGAATAACCAGCGTGGGGTTTAAGACAGGGTCATGTTTGCTGGCCAGAATCAACTTTTGAAACACTTTTCACTTGGAGACCTTGTCAAAGAAACCCTACTGCTCTCTATAGAGGAGGTGACAGACTGTGACAGACCTCTAGCCAATTGGCACACCCGTTCTGGGGCCAAAGCTACAGTTTTAACTGGTTGAGGTCCAGGTGTCACTGGGCACCCCCTGCTGAGATGACTAGATTCTGTCTCTGCAGAACTTGCCCTTGTGTGCTTGACTTGGCTTGCTCGGCTTGCCCTTGCGCTTGTTCTAGTAGGAATGAATGAAGCGTAGAGGGCATGCACACAGTTACAGGAGCAACAGAGAAGTGTTCTTCTAAGATGGAAACATTACATCTGATCTATGCCTGGCTAAAAGCAAAAGAGGGAGTGACGTTGGTTAGGGAATATATTTATGAAGAAAGCAAGGGCAGTAACACCATGCCCAGTGCATCGTCCTGGCAGTTCTGGCTGACCAGATCACCCGAGGGCAATCTATCATGATGAGTTGTAAAGAAATTCACCACATCTTATTCCCAATTTGGTGATCCACTTCCCCTGCCCTGACCTGAATATTTGAATTGTCTGGTTAAAGGGAGACCTTTACTGCCACTTCTCTATCCTTGGCCACCATTATTAGTTTACCTACTTTATTTGCATACATAAGTATAGCCACCATGTTCAAAACTAGTACAGAGGGGACCTACTGAGCTGCTCTACACAGTTGCTCCTAAAGCATCAACTTTTTATGTATAATCAGATCTTACTACTTTTGAACCTAAAAGAATCAGAAAAGAGCCTCTAGAAAAGTTGGTGCTACACATTTGACGCATTGTTTTCATGCTATCAGAGAAATCTCTGGTACTGTATTCTGAATTTATTTAACGGACTGGTGCAGTTGCTCTGTGGCTAAGGATCTGCGCCTGTGGCTGGAAGGTTGCCAGTTCGTATCCTGCGGCTGGGAGAGGAATCCTACTCTATTGGGCAAGGTCCTTAACCCCAACTGCTCCAGGGGGGCCGTATCAATGGCTGACCCTGTGTTCTGACCCCAAGCTTCTCTCCCTGTCTGTGTGTCTCATGGAGAGCAAGTTGAGGTATTTGAAAAGACAAATTCCTACTACAAGAAATTGTATATGGCCAATAAAGTGATCTTAAAAAAAATCTTGTACTGTGCATCTTTTCCATTTTGTTTATTCCAGTTATGTTTTTAGAAAGATTCGGGACCTGTTCTAAAACTGCATACATTTTTCCCCATGTAATCGTACAGGTGTCAAGAGTTAAACTAAATTCATGCATGTTTTTTTAGGTTATCCTTGTCAACTACTGTCAAAGAAAGGGCAATATAGCCTAACACTACAATCCATATTTCAAAAATATTAAGAGATTATAAGCATATTGGTAGGGAGAAAAGAAACCTTTATCTAAAAATGCCAAGTAGATTTGGGGCAGTGCTCCAGTAGAGGAAAAACATTTTCCCCTTGTAACAAGAGGCACTCCCCTTTACTTCATGGTAGAAGGTCATCCTGCTTGAACTGTTAATTATTTCAAGGAAGCTTCACTTCAAATGGAGAATCTAAATACTGATGATTGCTCAATGCTTTCCTCCAGCACACCCCAATGCCATTCCCTACACTGAAACAGAAAGATGGAAGGCAATTAGTTCACCTTTGCTGCCAAACAAATAGACGTTGTCGCTTTAACTACAAACATGGGCTCCCAGACTACATATTAGTCTTATCAGCATATAGAAAACATGATTTACTACCCAACACATTTGTGAACATGAGTTATTCTGAATCAATTTAATCTCCATATTTATTATATACTGTAGAGGATTTTATATACAGTAATAGGGGCTCATATTACATATGTACTGTTGGTTACATGCACACATGTAAATAATCCACAAAGACATTTAAGTATAAAATACGCTGAGACGAAAACACAATTCCCAATTACGAAAGACAAGTACAGAAACTATGCCACTTTGGAAAAATACTGAAACTGCAGGGAAAACAATCAATGTTTTCTAAACCCTCCTTTTTACTTGAGGTGAAATTTGATATTTCCTTTTCAGAGAGTGGGTGGTAATTGGGAATCCCTTGTAATGTGGCTTATGCTGCGATTTAACATGCTGGCACTGGTAAGCATACAGTACTGTACATGTGATATAATAAGTAATAATAAGTAAACAGAAAGCATATGGGGGATTCCCATGCATATAGGAGACACTGGCCTGTGAATGAAGCAACTGGCCAAACCAAGTTGTAGTTGATAAGGCCTCTTGATGTTGACACACCTATAGCCTTATGGTATAATTGCTAGAAACATCCATTCTCATTCCACTGGGATTCACAGCAGAACCCACACACCTCCAAGGACACAGCGCAATGTAGACTAACAACCATCAAAGCATTGCTACTATTATAAGAGGTCAAGTAGGCTTTGCAGAGTGTTTGATGCTTTTATTTCAAAGCATTCAAAACAAATGAACAGGTCACATGAGTGGCTGTGGCTTATGTATTTGTCACAAGCAAAATTAATAGTTTCTTCGGAACAAAAGAAAGAATGTGTGCTTGTTTGTACTGTATGTATCTATGTATGTGTTAGAATAAAGGGAGCTTTTTATGCACCTACGGTAATTGAGAATTACTGGAAAGTATTATTACTTCATTTAAGACACCTATCTCACATGTTTTATTAATATGTTATTGTGTTTTCCTAACAATCTGATTAATATTTATGAAATATTCATAACTAGCATGTTTATATATTGAAATGCATTATTAATGCAACAAATGAGTAATGGAACTAATCACATTTGTTGCATTTTAATACCTCTCAGAATATAAAGTATTACAAAATTTTTGCTTGTACAATGGTATGTCAGTACAGTGGTATGTCAGTGTTACAAATTTTAAAAGTCAGTTTTCCTGTATTCTAATTAGATTTATCTAATTATTTTGTTTTTTGTGTACTCAATTACAACCCTAAAGTTACCCATAAATACAGATGTATGTTAAAATTATAGTAAGCAAAACATTTCCATTTTATAGTAGTTTGTTTGCTGTTCCATTTTAAACATGCTGAATAGTAGTACTTCAGCTTAAATGCTGCAGTTACAATATGTCCCTTGAGTCACTTTTACAGCCTCACAGAACTCTATTTCAAACTAAGTGCTGAGGAAGATACTCTTTTTATACTGTTAATCCCATCAAGGGACACTTGCAAACCGAGAAATCCGTGTGAATAGTGCTCAGTTCAGATCATCTCACCGAAGCCAATTCATTATAACAAGAAGAAAAACGGCTTCTTAGTGGTCCTTATCCAAAATCATCAACTCAGCTTGGCAGGGACTCAACCCAAGAAATCAATGTATCTCATACTGCATCAGACAATCAGCGAAGTAAGACCATTTACAGACATATTGTCCAATTTATTTGTGCATGTTTGTTCAGTTTGGGTGGTCTGTACAAACTGTTTCAGATCTCTGTATAAACTGTGGCCACTGATACCAGCCCATCACTTTTCACTGAGCCTAGTTGCTATTTTTTCCACTTTATGGACAGAGCTCAATAAAACAACAGTCAAACCTTAATTCCATAATGTGGTTTTAGACATGAATAGATTTTACCCTATTTACAGTGATCTCCTGCTAAGTGCATTTTAACAACAAGCAAAGAGACTGCAAACCATTTAGATTCACTGTTTCTGTCTAGCAGATGGAGCTTTCACCTTTGAATAGTGCAATGTTCTGGGGCTTGCAGTATATCAGAAAAATGCACGGTAATTCTCTAGAGAATTCATATTGATTCGTAACTTAAAAAATAAAATGCTTGGGTAATTTAGCAGACTTCTTTGATTTTTACATTAACTACATATCATTTCATTTCCTATTTGATAGAAAATGACATTCAGTGTTTATTCCTACCACGGCACTTGACTTTAAATAACAATGAATCAATTAACAAGTGAGATTAATTTCCTAGGACTTCTCTTCCTTCCTAATGCTTGACAAAACCAACACCCCAGATACCAATTTCAGTTTTTTAACAATCCTTAGATGTAATTGAAGTTGGTTAATTTTTAAACAAAATGCTTATCCACATACTGTATAATAATTAGTGTGTTATATAACAATATATAATTATTAATTATGGTTATATAGTGTTCTAATTCCCAAACGATTTCAACTGTGCTGTAGTAGGAGGGGACCCACTTCATTCATCACTGAAGTGCACCACCCAGCTAGATGACACATTATGATATCTGCATTATTATTGCTCGCAAAGTTTAAATATAGGCATTTCCAAATAACGTGCAATTTATATCATCATAAGAGCTGTGTGGACTTGTTAAAAAAAAAACGTTGATTTGTTTTCTCAATGCTCATTACACCTTACAAAGGCAGGTAACTATGGTAAAAAAATGTTGGCAGCACTACATACTGTGTTAAGTGTCTGCTTCAGTTCTTATCAGGTTTTTTGGTCACTTGGCCACATACAGGAGTTTTTTTAAGTCCATTCACCAGGTAACCTAGGTAAACTTGACTTGATGTACAGTACCTGCCTCTACCTGTATCCTCATATGCCCAGGATGGATCATCTAAACAAAAGGTATTGGGTCTGGATTAATCACAATGATCCAATGGTCCACATGGGTCTCCAAAGTACATTACCAATAATTGTGGCTTATTTCTGTATTAGGTCCAGGGTACAAAGGCACAGTCTTCTGGACATTCAAGTGGTGACCTGCTACTGTAGGTCCTCTGGTGATTAACTTGAAACTCCAAGATTTTTGGCTGGGTACTTGTTTTATGTGCCACCTCCCATCTTCAAGCACCACCCAGATCATTTCTCTTATGATATAAAACGAATGCCAGCTCTTGGCAAAAGATGGAAAAAACTTTAAGAACAAATTTAATTGCATTACGACACACTCTCTCCTAAGCACATTAATAAGGTATGGGATGGAAAGTTTGAGACAGTCCTTTGGAAAAGTACATAAAGAGAGAGTTTGCACTTCGTTATCAATTCAGTTTCTCAAATTTTAATAAATAAAAAAGCGCTTACAAATATGGCTTGTTTTCTTTGTTATTGGATGTGTATCATGCATCCTACTCCTGAGCAAGGGATAAAGAAATTAATTTTGGTTACTGCATACTCCGTTTTCAGCAAAGCTTAGAGGCAATCCATTATCTAAACCTTGTGAGCCTATAAGCAACAAACTGTTTTAGAATTCATTAAGCGTGGTAAACAAATTCAGCTCTTTATAATCAGAAAACAAATGGTACCATCCAGTTAAATTATGAATCAACAAGGGAAAGATGAATAAAGAATAAAGGAATCAAACCACATTATTTTTCTCCATATAGCATCTTGATTTCTTTGAAAAGTAATCATTTGTAAAAGTAATCATGTACTTACTTTGATTACAAGTAAAAGAGTTTAACAGAATGTCCATTCATGCAAGTTACTTAAAAATCACAATATATTAGCAGTGCAGTTGTAAAGTAACTCGACTGAAGCTAAACTGAACTAATATTTCTCAATATTTTCATACATAAGAAAAGATGTGTGTATTTGTAATACCTGTTGTTTGTAAAACCAATGAGGAACACAATGCAATTTGAAGAATACCATACCTGTAAATACAACTGTCATCGTCATCTTGCTATGTTTATATTTGACTAATTCTTCTATGTTTATTTTTAGCAGAGGAAGATTGCTCTGATCTGAGCACAGTGCTGATAAATCTGGTAGAGATCATCATATGTCCCAATCAGCTCAGATATTTGCATAATAAAGCCCGCCTCCAAAAAGAAAGAAAGGAAGGTTAAAAAAACCCTAATCAAGAAAAAACGCAACAAGCCGCCAAGTAACCCTCAGCCCACACAGCTTTTACTAGATTTTCTAAAAAGCAATGGGAAAAAAAGACTACATGCTCGAAATAAAACTCAGTTCAAAGATTTCCTCACAGTCTTCATTCTACTCATCGGGGAAATTAATCTTAGAAAGCCCACTAGGATTACTGAAAAGACTGGACATTATATATACCGTATTACAGTATTTCATTCAAGAAACAGCCCGGGCAAGTAGTTTATGACTGTCCTTGTTGTTATTGGGTTTGTATGCTCCTTGCCCAGAGATCCAGTCAAATTTACCAGAATGTGACCAATTCCTGGGTCAAGAGATAATAAGAAAAAATACTAGAAAAAATCATTCCTAATAAAGAAACTGACAGCTACTTGGAGTTCATTTAAAAATACCCTGTATTTATTTCTCAGCGTGACAGGGTAGGAGGCCTGAAGGCATGAATTTACAGTTGTTTGTGATCGTAGTGACAGTTACCGGAAACAAGATTATTATTGGTACATCTCAGTCGATTCAACAATTTTCAAACCTGAAGAACCTTTATCAGCATATGTAAACCCCAATGAACACTGCAGCTTTCAAAGTATTATTGCATACAACTACAAATATGCAAAGTAATGTTGCTACAAATGTGCAAAATATTGTTGCCTTTTATGGGTTAATCCCTACACTCTTGCAGTGCCTCCAAACATATCCATTTCTTTATCATTGCATTTAAAGACAAACAAAGTTCCATTTGTTACGGATTTAGGTAATGTGGTATGGCATTAGTGATACAATTTGTATTTATGTAGCTCAATAACGAATATGCAAACAACTGTATCAAATATCTGTTACATATACAGTTCTGTATTTTGCTTACAAGTCTTGTCTGTATCTACAGTACAGTAGATGATATCGTGCCTGCATATGCTCACAGCTTCTGTGACTAATACCGCCACAGAAAAAGTTTCATGGAAAAGGTTCATGTAATATTTAAGAAAATAAAAAGGACTAAAAATTCCAAACATTAGATCTCAACTGTATTGTTTTTGTCTGAACCATTGACATTATGCAACCATACTTAGCATATCTTATTGATGATAAGCAGCCGTTAACAGCAAAACATGTCTTAATTGTTATACAAGTACTTATTTTTTTAATAGCAATTTAGACATGATCTTATTATGTAGTGTCTATGGGCAGTAACCTAGTACATTTTCCTTTTTAGTAACAAGCAGTGATACAAACCCTTGTAGCTACAACACTTTCAAAAAAAACTAAACCAAATGAAAGACTGGAAAATCTACGAAAAGAGGCAAATCTATCAAACTTTCAAATACTTTAGTAGCAAAATCTATCAAGTGGTTACATATCACAATACATGCGTGCACACAGTATGTGTGGTAAATTTTCCATTGCGTAGAAAATAAAAGAGTTGTCTTTGAAGGCACTTTTTCTGTCCAAATCAACTAAGTGAATATATTCTGCACAGTATACAGTACGCTACAGTATTGTACAGAAGCCTTAGACATCTTAAACAAAATCTGGAGATTGAAAGTATTACTGAAAGATTGAGATTGAAAGTTACTTTATAGGCATTCAGATTTACTCAAAGGCTAAGCTAGTGTTTGTTACTACTATAGCAATTATTGACTGTTAGTGATAATTAATTAGTTTGGATGAAAAGAAACCAAGCTTGTTATTTAGACATCTTTAATTCACATTGATGGTAATCTTAAAGGGTAATCATGAGAAGCCAATATGAAGTACATCCATTACGTTTCCATTGAAATCGAATGGACTCATTGTCAGGTCTTCCTTGACATTATCAAAATGTTTCTCTCTACACATCCATAAACCTAAAAGACTGCTACTTTTCGTCGTAGAAGTAAATATTTAACAGCACTTCCTGCTTAACTTAATCCGAAACAGCTAATATTTCGGTATCTACTTGTATCACCACAGAATTACAGTATGTCTACTTAACAGTATAAATCTATACTTACACTTCTAAAAAGTTTTCTTTAAATATTTATTAAGCCCTCTGTAATATGCCCACATAATATATAATACATCCTTCTACAAACCACTATGGCTTTCCAAGAAACATAAAGATGAAGAATTAGACAGACTTCAGTTTTGTACTTCTACTTAAAAATCACAATTCTGTCAGCGAATTGCTATTTTACTGAAGGTATATACAGTACATTCGTGCATAGTAATAATGATAACGTTTATCGTTGCATGTCAATAAAAAATAAAGTTAATGCATAACATATAAAAGAACAACAAAAATAAAGATTACTTACAAAAGACAGGCACCTAAATGTTAAGAAAATTATAATAAGGGTATTTCTCATCATAATTGCTCTGTCAGCTTTCCAAAATGCGAGTACTCCGTTCAGAACTCATCGGGTTCGCTTTCATAGAATCGGGAAGTGTTACAATGAGTAGCTGTTTCCTCTTCAGTGGTCAAGCACATCGATTTATATATATATAAAAATACACACATATATTTTTATAACTCCCAATGAAAGAAAGCAACCAAACTCCGCTCACTGTCCCAGTTGCAAAATATGTGTTATTTCAGCAGCGGAGTCTGAAGCTGTCAAAAAAAAGACCATCAAACAGAACGCGATTCCCTGCTTTGATTCGCTCACTTCTTCTGTCCCTTCTGGAGAAGACAGGCTATCCACAGCCCTGACAGTGATCGAGTATGTTACTTTAGTCAGAAAAGGGAAAAGCACTGAGCTATGACTTTTATAAGCAGCAAATCACAACTTCCCCCCGGCACTTTAACCGTCCCTTCACTGTCAGAGGTTACCCTCACACAACTAGCACCCCCGGCAGAGGAAAGCGTATTACTCGATAACTTTAGTACAGTAAGCGCATAAACTCAGCAAAGGGGAATGTCAAATGGTTTTAAATTAACGTAAAAATGATCAAAACCAGTCCGAAAGAATTCAAAACGAACAGACAGTCTGACAATGTCCTTTCAAGATAATATAATTATTTTTATTTTCTTTAAAATGAATATATTAACTATATTCTGTACAAACCAGTGTTAGGTTTATTTTGGCACGGATATTTTTTAAGTTAACCCCTTCCCTCCAGTTAATATATTTTCAAACCACGTTTAAAAAACACTTTATCTAAATATATGGGAAAACATGTACAGAACACAAAAGAGGATAAATGGAAATGAAATCCACAACACACTACGCTGTCGAAACCTGGACTTGCCTGTTGGTGCGCCAGGAGATAAACAGGACTCGTAGTAAATTGTGAAAGTAACTGAATGGGTCTGCGGAGTATGAAGGTCACATACTGTACTGTAAAATGGCAAGTGCTTTAGGGCAATGTGTGTAATCAGTGCGAAAGATTGGCGTTCCCGAAATAGCATGCATAATGTTGGATATTAATTAATGTTGCTTCTAATTATAAAAACACGCAAGCTTAATATACGCATATCTGCAGCACCGTAAATTGTCTAGAAATTAAGATTGTGAAATAAAGAAAAAAACTCTCATATGTTAAGCTTTACACCATGATCTCCATTACATACAACATAGGGTTTGCAATACACAGGAAGACTGTGCCATCACTAAAAGTTTGAACAAATATTTTGCCAACCTTACTGCCTGGTATTACTCAAGGGAGGATAATGACATACAGTACCTTTTTTATAAAAAAAATAAATGGATTATTCTTGATAATAATTCTTCATTATTTGAAAAAATGCACAGCATTTCATCTGTGGAGCCCTTTTCAGGAATGAGGTGAGGTGAACTCTACTTGTTCCTTTGCAGCACACACATACTGACATACTGCAAGTCCCTGCTCAAATTATTCTAAAAGTGTTTCAAGATATACACCCCCGCATTTCAGGTCTGTATTTTCATACAGAATTCCTAGGGTTACAACTGCCTTCCAATTGAGGGAGCAGAATACAACCTTTAAAGAAAATCTAATCTTGATTTGGAAGTTCATCATGTGAGCGCGCCATCCATGTGGTTACCAAAATCGGTGTTTCCATTGAACAAAACTGTGGCGCAAATTAAAATGGAGGCCAAGAATGCTATTTGTCAAAGCATTTCCTGCCAAAGAAGCTGCTCATCAGGCACACAAAATGTCTGGCAGTCATTGAAAAATGATTATAAGTGGAGGGGGATGACAGCACTACTTAAACTGTGCCAATAGAAATCCCAGTCAAGTAAGTCGAGCTGCTTCACGGGAAGAAATGAATACACAAAAACAGATACAGTACTGTTTTTTTACTAAACTGAAGGGTTTCATTGTAACATTTTATTTAAATGATTATTCTCTCCACTTGTATAATTTATTAATTGGTTTGTCTCCCATTTTGGTATTTAATACTATAGTAATACTAATAAACTAATACTATACTTAATATTTGGTCTTTCTTAAATACTGCCTTTTAGCACCATATGTACTGTACAGTACTATGCATCTGTGCACGGGGAGTCAAAAAGATTAGGATTGTTCACCACTCAAATAGGGTGGTGTTCTCTCTGAGCTCGTGGCCATCCTTGTGTTGACTGGGGTGTCAGTTTAGCTTGCTAGGTATTACAGCCCTAGAGTGAGATGGTTGATCTCCTCTGGTTTAGCCTGATGCCTGTGACAGTGTACTTCTAGCCTCAGCCCTGATACAGAGTAATAAGTACTAAGGATCCCTGAAGAGATGCGTGCTGACTCTCTGTGTTACTGCTGAATGGATATGGTGACCCTGTAGATATCTTCCATTGTGTCCTCCTGTTTCTGACATCATACCAATATAGTATTATAAGTAGGATGGTCAAGGAGAAATTGTAGCTTTGAATAAAAGCATCGTCAAGTAGAATGATCACAAGGGAAAGAACTGTTTATGAGGAACTCCAGTGACAATGCAAACTCACACAGTTGCTCACCACCAGTCCCATTTGTAAACCATAGTGCCCAGTCTAGGGGGGGTTTATAGCAGGATTCAAACACACTAACGGCAGGATAGCAAATTGCAACAAGAGTGCAGGTAATGTACAGAATGATTAAACATGCTTGGGGTAAGAGGGGAAAACATGAAAACCGAACTCAAACAGTTCTTGTCAGTCCTATAGCGCCAGTCCAGATCATTTCCCTCATTCAACATGTCATGCAGTAAAACCCTATGACCACTTGGTGTCACAGCACATTTCATTTTTAATTCTTTGTACATTTTTGTAAACTGTGTACTTATCTCTCCTTCCATTTTCTAACCACATTATCCAATACAGAATCGCACAGGATGCCGGAGCCTATCCTAGCAAGCTACAAGCGCAAAGCAGGATACACCCTGAACAGGATGCCACTCATAGAGTACTTATGTATTTATTAAATTATTTAACTATTATGTAAATCATTAAATTACTTATAAATATTTTGGGATGCATCATTTACTACATAAGATTTACATTTTAAGACTATAGATCTTTGACTTGATTCAGAGTTATTGATAAAAAAGGGGATGGATTCAAGAATGAGAAATAATTCCTGCATAAATGTTAAAAAACAGAAACTATTAAGACAGTAAAAATGATTAATGTGCAAGACATTGCATATGCTTAAACAAATCAAAATGCTGGTTTTCCACTTTACATCATTGGTAAGTATTTTAAACTTTTAAATACAAGAAACCAACAATACTAAAGGATTTCTTAATTTTAAATTCAGATCAGTTCATTTTTTTAACCATAGATGTGTATGTTATTCTGGGCGTTTCATTCACTTCACATTCATTTAAAAATGCAGACATTCTAAAATGTGTTTTACTTTGTTTTGTGTAAATAAAGAACATACCACTTTATTACTTGAATTATGTTCAGAACACCATCTGGTATAAGAACTCAGATCTTTTTACAGACATCTATTGGCATGTGTGGTGCTCAGATTAGACTGAAATTTTGAGGAGCAGAAAGGGCAGCTCACAACTGAGACTAATGCATTCACACAGAGAGACATAAACACGCACAAAGTGGAACATAGCAATGAGCTAGCGAAATCAATCAAGCTATTCCAAGCAAAAAACAAATTCTATAAAAAGAAAACAAAAAGCTCCACATTTCTTTGGCTAAATGTAGTTTTATGTGTCATTCTAAGCTAGCTGTGCATTTGCTTTATTAATTTAAATGACATTTGTCTTACTGTAACTAAATTAATGTATATCCTTTTGGATTTTTTATCGCATTGATCCCTTGGTACTGAAACACTATGACAGCTACATACAGTATATAAAACCTTACTATACTACTGGTATTGTTTACTTTCAGAAATTGTTAAAAGATGTTCATTGACCCCAGGGATAGGTTTGTTTAAATAAGGCACAGAAATAGGGGGAGCAGAAGGTTATAGAAGAACTGAAAAAATGCATCTAAAATATTTATTAGAAATCATAATCAAGCTTTTTTTCAATCCACAACTTACTAACTTACAGTAATCTTTTTCACTGTGTTTAATTACATTGTCACCGGCTGTAATTGTGCAATCACTCATAAGACATTTTGTAAAATGGCAATCAACTATTCTAAAATCAAACAACACCTTATAAGTAGACAACAGGGATCAGCAACAGTGATCAGTAACGGAGCTCTCTGTTCAGTTTATTTTTCTGGAGTTAGTTTCTTGAACTTCACTTTTTACAGCAATGGAATCAGGGGTCTTCAGGCTTATCAGCTCATCTGTCATCACTTGTCAGTGCTTTCGTTAATTTAAATGAGTCAGATCACAAGCTAAACAATGATTAGAACCAGAGGTCAAGACAAGCCATTACAAACTTAGTGATGAACAAAACGAGAGGCCGGAATACATTCAAACATATAAGTACAATTAAAGAAATATGCAAAACAAAAGACAATTATGCAGTTAAGTGCTGCAAAATACTGATCACAGCAGCAATCTTAACTTAGATTTAAGATAGAATAAAAGAAGCAGAAAAAATCAGGTTGCGTAAGAAGAAGGGGCCCAGCACATGTCATTTGAGAAAGTACAGTTGAGTTGAAAACATGTCCAGCTGTGATTGCAATCAAACAAAAAAATCAAACAATGCAGATGAATAAATTGCAGCAAGCTGTTGAAGACAGTACCTGGTGGAGAAAGAGCACTGTAAAGATTGACAGAGGAATATAATTTAAATGACTATTGTTAGGATTCTGTACAAAGTCTACCTTTCCTGTTGTGTGTTACCAGCTTCCTGAAAAAATCCTTAAATACTTAAAAATAAACATGGGCATTTTTTCAGTCGTTTTCTAACATTTAATTAAAAAATAATGTATTAATAACATTACATAAATTACACATAATTTACACATTTAGATATTTAATACATGTATTTTAAGTACTGTAATTTGTTTTGATTGGTTCTGGAGTATATCAGAGACCACTTTAGGTAAAACTCAGATTAAAACTTAACAGTGCCTGTCCCAACCAGTAAAAAGACTGGTAAAACACAAGCTAATGAAAAATTAGTTATAATCATGGTATAAGACAGTTTTAAATACTGTCACACAATTTAACCAAGTAGAATATTTCAGAAACTTTATTTATGATAAATCAGACTATCACTGTAAAAATAGGCATTTTTACAGTGATAGTCTGATATAGCAAATATAACCAATGAAGAATAATTCTATACCAGGCTGCATAAATAGTACCGAGATCCTAAAGGCCCCAAATTCATTACATCAACCATTTCATGGCCAATGAAAACCTGGAGAAATG